GTGTGTCAGTATGTCTGTCAGTGTATGTGCCCGTGTGTGTGTCAGTATGCCTATTAGTGTGTATGTGTGTGTGTCAGCATGTCTATCAGTGTATGTATCTGTGTGTCAGTATGTCTGTGTGTGTGTCAGTATGTCTGCCAGTGTGTGTGTGTGTGTGTCAGGCACATACACTGATATACATACTGACACACACAGGCACATACAATGACAAACATACTGACACACAGATACATACACTGACGGACATTCTGACACACACACATAGGCACATACACTGATAGACATACTGACACACACGCACATATACAGACATACTGACACACACACACACAGGCACTTATACTGATATACTGACACACACGGGCACATATACAGACATGTGAAAATGGTAGTGGTTTCAGCGCTTAGTATCTCAACAGAATAGTGTGGAATATGAGTATAGGCAGCAACCTAAAATAAAGACGTTCCCTCACGGTGCGTCAAAGAAATGGAGAATCTAAAAGGAGTATTAGGTCGCGCCAAAAAGTAGATCTAATAAAATCAAAATATTGTAATACAGCAATCAATAAAATTTGAAATCTTTGCATATAGAACAGGTTAAATACATGTAGATGGTGTGGTAAGTACTTACAAATAGCAGTACATACAAAGAAGAATGGATGAAAAGTCCTAAAATGAGCAGGGGATAATCAAGTCCGCTTGAGGGAAAGAAACAGTCCTTGTAGGATTAGGGAAATTGATGTAACGTCTTGTTCCAGGTGCCAATATGCAAAAGAAAACAAGATAAAAGCTCCAATGGTATAGATAGTCTTTTCCGCTTCTTTGTAGAAATGCAGAGTAAAAAGGTATCACACTCACCTATATTAGAGCTAAAACTAGCTCGGGTGTATATCGCATTCAGTGGTACTGGTCCCCCACTGGTGGGATGTAGACATATATACGTGGCCGAAATCCTCGGGAAAGAAGAGGATAACACAGAATAGTGTTCACTGTATGAATAGATACTTAAAAGGAGTAAAATGTGTATAAAATACTCACATTTAAGTGAGCAGGAAATACTGCTCACTGATATGGCGTAGGTGGTATCATCCCCACCTGGGATTCTTGAACGTAAAATAATAATAACCAGGTCCAGAAAATAATAAATAAATAAAATATGGTAAATAAAAAAATGTATTATCAAGGATAAAAGGTAGAATATAGGCCAATAATACTGTAAAATATATGTAAAATAGCCAAAAAAGATAAATAATATTCTTGGAGTTACAACCAATGAAATCTTTTATAGGATATGATTTACCTGTATTTGTAGAAGAGAAATGAGTGGTCTTAGATTTAATTGTAGATGAATTTGTAGTTTTGCACACAATACATCTGTTGCATCTAAAAAAAACCTTAGGTTTTGTCATGAAGTCCTTATTAGAACGTGTATTATTTTTGGTATAGTTTTTTGTAAGGGTATTCTTAAAATTAGGGGCCCCTCTAAATATAATATTGGGTCTGTTTGGGATTTGATCCTTTAGAAGGTCGTCTTCTTTGAGGATATGCCAATGTTTGTTGATTATTTTTTTCATAACTTTATTTTTATTATTAAAATCCAAAATAATAGGTAGTGTTGGTGGATCTTTTTTAGTATCTTTATATTCTAATAGAATATTTCTATCTTGGCTTTTGACTGTATTCAAAGTAGTATCTAATTTTTCTTTTGAATAATTTTTTTCTATAAATTTATTTTTAAGCGAAGTAGATTGAGCTGTAAAATCATCAATTTGTGAGCAGTTCCGGTAAAGACGAAGGAATTGGCTCTTGGGAATACCTTCTAACCATGGCCCATAATGGCAGCTAGATTGGTCTATTATAGTGTTGGTGCATACCTTTTTAAAAAATGTTTTAGTTTGGATAGACCCATTTTGAATAAAAATATTGAGATCTAAAAAATTAATAGAAGATTTACTAAATTCTGATGTAAGGCTAATTCCCTTATTATTATTATTAAGATGATTTAAAAACTCATTAAGATCGAATTCTGAACCTTTCCATATAAAAAACACATCGTCTATATAGCGAAAATAGAAAACCAGGTTCGCCCTCCAGCCATGGTTTCCCCAGAAGGCCGAAGATTCCCATTCGGCCATAAATAGGTTAGCATAGCTGGGGGCTACTCTGGTTCCCATCGCACATATACAGACATACTGACACACACACATCCACATACGCTGATAGAGATAATGTGTGTGTGTTGTATGTCTGTATATGTGCCTGTTTGTGTGTGTATGTGTGTGTGTCAGTATGTCTATCAGTGTTTGTGCCTGTGTGACCGTTTGTGTCAGTGTGTGTGTCAGTATGTCTATCATTGTATGTATTTATGTGTGTCAGTATGTCTCAGTTTATCTGTCTGTGTATCTGTATGTGTCTGTGTGTTTATCTGTGTACGTATCTGTATGTAGTCAGTGTGTGTATCTGCTTGTGTGTCAGTGTGTTTACCTGTGTGTCTGAGCACCAACAATAAATACAAATACATTACTCCATTCAAACTTCAACATTACAAACAAACACACTCCTGCATTGAAAGTCAACACTTCATACACCTCTGTGTTAAACACCAAAATTATATATAAACAAACCCCTACATTCAAAAACCAGCACTACCCTTAAATGTACACTTGCATTCAAACTCTAACACCACATACAAACACATTCACACAAACATACTCCATACAAAAACATGCTTACATTCAAACACACAAACACAGTGCTAAACACAACCCTGCAAGCATGGGAAATTGGTAGAGCCCCAGCTGTCAATGCATTGTTGTAGTTGCATGACAGATAGGGTTCTACCTTCTTTCCAACCTTGCAATTGGGGGTCCAAATGAAATTCTTGCACCAGGGCTCTTTCTACTTTAGTTTGCCCACTGCGTTGGGGTGGAGGCGTGATTGCATGCCAGGGAGTGGATCCAGGGGGCCTAAGCAAATGCTTGCCCAGGGCCCAATCAATATTAAAGACGGCCCTGAATACACAGATAATATATATTCCAAATGGATCCTAGGGTGAATGGTGATGTGTAGAATCATGCATACCCAATCAAGTAGGCAAGATAAAGAGGAATAACACTAATTTATTAGATTATAAAAGATACATGATATGCAATGTTAGGGCCCCTGGATTCATGGAATCAAATTGCCTTATGCAAAAGGTCTCTGTCATGTTAAATCTGGCTCTCTGCACATACAAAGTTTTTCAATAATTTAAAAAATTATTTTAAATCATAATTGTGATAAATGTTTTTTACATTGATAGAAATGCTTGTGTACCGGTATTTCCAAAAGATTATTACGCATAGGTGTGCGCACAGGGTGTGCCTGGGCACACCCTAATCCCCGCGGCCAGCGCTATGTGCCTCCATGGGCCGGAGGGGAGTTCAAAGCCCTGCAGGCTAGAGTTCACTCACCACTGGACCACCAGGGATGGCAGCAGCACAGTCCCCACCTCCCTACAAAAGGTAAGAAGGGAGGGGGGCTATTTCCTAAATGCCCCCACACCCCCACAGTTCCTCCAAACAAATACACACAAATAGCACCCTCACACACACACACAGCAGAGAGAGAGAGTGTGTGTGTGTGTGTGTGTATATATATATATATATGGGCGTATGTGTTTGTGCTTTAGGGTGCACACCCTTATGCAATAGGCTGCGCACGCCTATGTTATTACGTAAAGTAGAACAATGCTTTTAACATGTATTTCCTTTGTATAATTGTCCACAGGGACATTTTCAACTAAACACTGGTTCGGGGATCTGATTACATCACCGCTGTCTCAATAGTTTATAGCGGTTTTTATTAGGGCTTTTGGTCCTTTGCAATGTTAAGTAGGTGTAGGGAATTGTTTTTTGTTTCCTATGGCATGTAAGTTTGAGGAAGAATTAATCATTTTATTAAAAATTTAAGTATTTCTCTGTGATTACGTAATCGATTCAGGTTGTTTATATATTTCTCTATTGTTTTAAGTGAATAAAGTATTCTTACATGGAATTTTTTGGTTATGATACCTGTATACTTTCGTATTGCAGTTTTCAACTTGATTCACCCATTTAATGCTTGGTGATGCTATAATCATGCATCCTATTTGTTTGACACAAGTATCTGCTTTGCACATAGTACTTTATTTTTTAATTCTTTATTTTTTCTTACTTCGCATGAGAGTAAATTATGAACAAGTACACAATGTGTCACAGGAAAGGAATAAACAGCATGCTTTCGCACAACAACAGATTAAGTATATAGCTTTATATGAGAAGACATTCTTCTCTCTGATAATGAGACTGGATGTCGAATGAGTTATTTATGTGTAAGGAGTAAATCAGTTTCTGTGACCCACTAGAGTGTTAACCCACAGCATTCACAGAAAGCACGCTAGATTATTGCCAAAGCATTCTCCATAGGGGTCTCTCTCCTGAAATTGGGACTATGAGTCCTCTCAACCAAGGTCCTGTTCTGACACTGAAGGGGGGGCTGTGATAGGAGAGGGGGAAAGGGACTGGATAATAGGAATCGAATCCTAGTGCAGTTCTTAAGTCTTATTGAGTGGCAAACCCGTCCAACCGGGACCCGTCATGAGGGTGTGAACCATAACCAGAGCTAACGTGTAAGTATGTTGTCCCCCATATGTGTTTGATTATTTTAACTAAATAATAACAAAATCAAGGTACCAACAGTTGAAAACCAAGATGAAAAGAAACCTAAGAAGAAACAAACAAAAAAAGTAAATAATGAACCAATCATTGGTGTAAATCAGAAAGTCGCTGGCTGGTAAGAGACACACTTCCTTCCCTAGACAGCATCCTGGGCAGACATGTCACAGCCTTGGAAGACGAGGAGCTTGAGGCAGATCTAGGTGTTAATTCTCAAATCCGTGCTGGGCCTATGCTTGACAGACTCGCCCCAACTTCTCCTCCAGTTCCTGGTAGATTCCTGCTCAGAAAGTCACCCCCTGGGCTGTGAATATGAGAGCTCTGGGTAGCCCCCAACGGTAGCGAATGTCCTTAGTACACAGGTGTTGCAGCAAGGGCCGTAGGGATCGGTGCCAATTCAAGGTGTTCCTCGTGAGGTCAGGGAAGAACTGCAATGTTCAGCCTTCAAATGTCAACAGTGACTCTGATATGCCTCTAATCTTCAGGTTATACCTGTTCCATTGGTCCTGCAGGGCATCCACTATGCGCTGGGCTCTCTGTTGTTGCTGCTGGATCTCCTCCAGTTTTTGTTCCAACGCTGGAAGATGGGTGTCATGGACACTATTTGAGGCCTCCAGTTGTGTGATATTTTTAATAGATGCTCCCTCTGTGGCCTTCTGAAATTGGACCATGTCAGCTGCTATATTTGTTCTGAGCTCAGCAAGCATAGTCTTGAGTAAGGCCACTGTGACCGGGTAATCCGCAGTAGGAGCTTTAGCTCCTGGTCTTTGGCTAAGCGAGACCCCTTCTCCTGGATCAAAGGACAGGTCTCCCAAGAAGTAAGACGAGCCATCATCCAGGTGCGCCATATTGTCCCAGACGGCCCCCTGAGAGATTCGGAACAAGTCACTGTTATCTCTGCTTTTCTGCTCTGGGTTTTTTATATTTTGGTTCCATGGTGTTCTCGGCTATTTGGTTAAGGGAGACAGCGTCATTTTGAGCTGAAATATACACCCAAAAACAGTCTATTTTAGGAAACTTTGGTCGGAGCACATGAGAAATGCGACTTCTCCGGTTCACTGCTGGCTCTCTCCCCCCAGTTTAAGGTTGTGTGGCGGAACCTGTATGTGATCTGAGCACCATCCAGTAGTAATGGGCGCTCAGATCTAAGCTACCCGGGGATAGGTAGAATGTGTATGTTCTATGTGATAAATGTAACAGTATGTCATTTTATGTCTTTTATTGTCCTTTGTCTGCCATGTGCACAATGGAGTTTTGCCTCTGTCCTTGGAGATAATTGGATTACTTCCCAATTATCTCCAGGACAGAGAGGAGGGATTGTGATGCATTGTGGGATTGTAAGCTTGTGATTGGTCAATGTCCAATATGTTTCCCAGTTTCCCATCTGGTCCCTAGGGGAGTGTCAACCAGGTGGGAGACCTGCATAAAAGCTGGGCAGGTAGCCCCAGTAAATCATTTCTGCTTGACCCTCAAACAAAGTGTCGTCTCATTCTTGGAGAGAATTGGATTGTATGCTGTTACAGTGCGACTGCCAGGAGTGTAAGCTGTTTGTATGTTTTTTCCTGTTCGGCTGTTTAACAGCATCCGTGTTTTCGGAAGTTGGTGAATACGTGTGTTTCCTGTTCGGGAGTTGGAGGATTCGTATGGTTCCAGTTCGGGAGTTAGAGAATTTGTGTGTTTGCAGTTCGGGAGATTGGTGATTGCAGTAGCTGCCTGTGCATCTGAAAGGGGAATATCGCCTAAACATTTTTTTAACCTCGTATGCAAAACGGTCCGTTACAGGTTGTATTTGTGTTGGCTTGAAAAAGGCTCCTTTAGGAGCCAAAGCTTTGCATGGACAATCTCAATAAATCGGCCTGAACTTTCTTTATATACCAGTTTGTATTCGTTAGATAACTGGTTTATTTGGGCATTGCCTGCTCTAGACTGGAGGCACATTAGATGGCATTTGGCGCATGCTCCATCATAATTCTATACTTAACATAGTGGTGGGCTTAACACAATATGGCCATATATTGTTAATAAATTCCCACATTTGTTTGACAAGATTGGTGATCTTAAGTAATCTTCTTACATTTACAACTATTTCTGTGTGGGCTTTTCCTTAAAAAATGTAAGAATCAAAGGTATTTTGAGATGCAATGCTTTCATAATGAACCCCTTTTTGGCACTTTTGGCATATGTTCATTCTACCACAATTTCACCCTGTTTAAGTGTACCAGGGCTTTATTTATATATACATACATATATATATATTTACAGATAAAATTCGTATCTTGCAATACCTTTTTTATTGGACTAAAATAATTTTTTAATGGCAAGCTTTCTGGAGAACCTCCCTTTTTCAAGTATGAAGTATTTCTGAGCAAGACGACACATAGAATTCAAATTCGAGTTGTGATACAGGGGTTAAAGCGAAATGAGTGCAGATACGACAAGTTTGATAGAAAACAGACACCATTCTTTCATAGGGTCATAAATATCTTTCTGAGGATCAGAGTGAGGGGAAAAAAAAAAAAAAAAAAAAACAACAAGCAGAGAGTGCAGAAGATGGTACATTTTATACACACACACAAATATATAAGTATATGCAAATGCATAAACACATATACATATACAATAATATCTTTGCGGCCCAACACGCCGCGAGTTTGAGACATGCTTACTAAGGCAGAGTAGGCACCTGCTCTGCTAAAATTTACCCGGCCAGGGAGGAGAGGAAGGTGGCGGCAGCGAGGGAGCATCATTCCGGCATCACTAAACTGCACGTGTGAGGAAGCAGTGAGGAGCTGGAGGACTAAGCTCCCGAGAGAAGATCCCCACTGGACCCCAGGAGGAGGCCCCACACCAGATCCCAAAGGTAGGGAGCAATAAAAAAAAAAATGATGATAGTGTGTGCAAGTGACTGTGTGTGTTAGTGAGTGTGTGTGTGTGTTGCGATGGCCGTGGCTGCAAAGTGGAAAACCTTGAGGAGCACGGAGGCACGCAATGCCACGTCACATCCCGACGCAACGTCAATGTGCTCCACCATCACACGCTTTCAAAGAGTAGCGTGAGGATCCGTTTCGGCACAGGGTACGGACGGCACCATTGGGAGTATACCAGAGGGTGTACTCCAGAGTCGCATAATGGCAGCGGCAATGTGAGTGGAGTCGGTTAGTTGGCCAATATTGTTTTTGATTTTTTTTTTAAACGGCCATGGTTTAGAAGAGGGGGGTGTGTGGGGGAGTACTGTGATTTAGTGACCTGTGCAATTTGTTTCATTCTGAATGTACTTTTGTATGAATTTCATGCCATTCGGAAGATTCCGAATGTCCGAAGTTCCAAACCGAACGCCATTGGTCTGAACTGACGTAGCAGACAAATTTTATTTACTTACCCGAATTTCCGATTTCAGGTTCTACATCACCATTTATCAATTGTTAGTATTCAAACATCCTCCATTAGTAGTGTTTATTTCCTGATCGTAGCTTTAACCTTTGCCACTGCATCCTATATCAATGGGGAGTATTCCATCAACATACATTAGTGGTTGCGTTCTAACATTCTGAACCAGTGAGTGACCAAACATTGTAAATCAGCAGTGAGTGTTCCAACATTCTGAATCAGCTATCAGCCAATATTTTAAATCAGCATTGAGTCTTCCAACAGTCTAAATTAGTAGCGAATATTCTAAAATTCTTAATCAAGCAGTGAGCTTTCTAACTTTCTAAATGAGCAGAGAGCTAACAAATCAGTAGTGAGCATCCTTCACTAACACACAGTGAGAAAACGGACAGCCAATAATGTATCCTCACTCAGGACTCCTACCCATTGCCAGAGGAACATACATAACCCATTTAAGAGGGGTTCTTCTAGCGCCAGTTCAAACTCCCACCCCACATGGCACTGTCCAGCTCCGCCAGACACACAGATCCTGTCTGCACCCTGAGTTCTATGGCTGCTGCTCAATGACTGAACGTAACAAAGGCAGCGAGAGAGAGATTATCAATACAGTATCAATTCTCCAGTGCCCCCTTCTGCTCCCCCCCCCTCTGCAGGGCTGTGTCTTCACTGACTGATCAGTCCCTGGGACTGATTTGCACCAACTTGATTTTCCACTCTGCAAAACTTATCGATAGTGACGTCACGTGGCAAACAATACACCCTTGGAGAAGGAGAGAGCAAATCAATTAACATGTGTGGCTTGAGACGCTGTGTGATAATAAAAAAATAGTCTCCCCTCCTTTCCCAGGTTGTCTGGTGTTATAGAGTGCATACGGCCTGTGCAGTGGGGGGTTCATGGGTCTACAGTATGATTTATAATGGATGTTGTGACTTGAGTGGGGTGATGCAGTGAAATGAATGTATGCTGTGCACTCTGACTGGGGATTACAGGTGAAGTACCTATTGGGTTATGCAGTGTCATGGACAAGATCTGGAGTGGGGCATATTAGAACCTTATTTAAAGTGATACATAATGTAAAGACAGTAATAGGAGTTATTGGATTAACTGTGAAATGCATCAGATTTTAAAAGGAGTACAGCTAATAAGAGGGGCGATCTTTTCAGCTGGACCTATTAGACTTATATTCCCCATCATTTTCCTAACCATTGTACAGCGCAGCAAAATTTGTTGTCACTTTAAAAATTAAAATAATAATTTATGATTTTACGAATGTCTGAAGTGCGCAAGTTCAGCAGTGCCAAACTCAATTCTATTGGTCTGAATTGCCGAAGCAGGCAAAAAATTTTGCCCATGCACATCACTAGGATTTAGTATAGACAAGGAGGAGGGGTGACTGGGATTTAGTAGAGGGGATGCGGTTTTTTTTTTTATACTGTACTTTTGAAAACAAACCTACGTTTCTATGAAAACTTATGAAAGTTTTTTTTTTTTTTTTGCGGCCCACATAAACTTAAACCTTGTTTATTGGGCCCATGCTAGCCGTTAACATGATTGCTGTATAGGAAAATTTACTTATCTGAAATTGCTCCCAGTCTTTCTTTGGGGAAGTGTCCCCAAGCAGGGCAAAGTTGCTCAGTGATGCCAGCTTAGTTTCCATAACAACTGTAGTCCATGCACTGCGGTTGCTATACTTGGGGAGTGCAAAATAATCTTTTGTGGAAATCTTTTCTGCTCTGCCTTGTCTGTCAATGCTTCAGCATTGAGTGTCTCCCTCACCATTGACTGAGAGCTGGGAGAAAAACAATTTTAAATAGGTTTTCCTCCCAATCTTTACATTTGCTAGCAAATGTATATATGAAATTGTATACGCTTTCAATAGAACACAAGAAAAAGGTCACAACAGATATCCTTTAAAATATAAAAACAGTGAGGTTTTGTTTTTGCATGTTTTTCCTAACCTCTGTAGATGGCTGGGCACCCTTTAAGATGTGTTTTGTAAAAAGCAGACATACATTCAATTCCTTTATTGTATATATAGTTTAGTATATACACAGTGTCTAGGATACATTTCATAAAGAAGATGTCAGTCATGATAAAATTTATATCTGAAATCCATGGGCTATTTTATTCTGCACAAGGCAGAAGCAGCAGCTTAAATTCTGCTACTTTTAAGAGAAAGTAGAATCTCACCAGCGAAACGAATAAATAAGATAAATAGAACTAAGCACACATTGCTCCTGTCACGTATGTACCGAGAGATGCTCGTCTGTTTTAAATGCATGACCTTCTGGACTCTGTAAGTCTTCATCTTCAGAGTCGTTGTCCTCCTCCTCTGGATCAGGTGTGAGAGGAACATTGCTTGGCCCCTTGCATATTTTCAAGTGTCGAGTGAGGTGATATTTGGTGAGAAAGGCCTTGGAGCATTTTTCACAGACAAAGTCTCTCTTCCCTTCATGGGAATTCAAATGCTTCTTGAGATGGTTTGTTCTGCCAAAGCGTTTATCACACTTAGGGCATATAAACTGTCGCTCTCTGTTATAGGGGAAAAGAGATTTTCTGTTAAGCATAAAATATGCAGTAAAATACGTTGAGGATTTTTTTACATTTTTATGATCATATGATATCTGATGGGTATATGACACTTCTAAATGATAAATGGATGCTAGAGAAAATTCAATGAAGTAGCGAGGGGGAAGGGACATAGAAATGAAAAGAAAAAAATATACATCATCTCTTACCACAATGTCCTGTATAATCTATAAATAAATCACACAAACAGCAAGCTTCTTATTTTCATTTCCTTCCAACGCAGTTTTACATTTTAAGAAGAAAATGCATAATTGCTGCCAACACTCACTTGGATTTCTACAAACCAGTTCTGCAAGACTGCTCAATACGCACCCAGTGTGTGTAAGTATGTGCTGCTTCAGATCATGCCTTCTCATAAACATCTTATCACAAAATTCACACTTCAGATTACGCTCTCCCATGTGCACCACCATATGGGACATCAAATGAGCTTTTTGTGTAAATGACTTGTCACATAAACCACAGCGGTAATTTTTCTGTCCTGTTCAACAAAGATATACAGGTGATAAGAGCTACCGGTTCAGACACTCAAGTGTAGATTTTAATCACTCATTTTATTAAATGCAATGCATTAAAGCAGCATTTTGAGATCTTTGAAATTCTTGCAAAGACTCCACAAGGCGACAAGTTCACTTGTGTGAAGGTGGCGGAGGAGAGAATAGATAGGGAAATATACTTTTCATAAACCAGCATCCTAGACACATAAGCTTGCTGAAGTGCTTTATGGGTCTTTAAACATATCAGCTACTTTTGCAGAACGCACAACAGATCTAACTGAAGTGGTAGGCACGCTAAGTTAGCATGTATCTGCATTCCTCCTATTCTCAGTAGAACAGTTAGCGATCACAGTTCCAGCAAAGGTTGCAGACAGAGGAGGATAAAGGCTGACTGCCTCAATTAATATTTTTGTTCAGTATTTACATATGAAAATGAAGGAAAGGTGTCTCAGTTGGGGAAAAAGGAAAAAATACTCATTTGTTACATGTGAGTTTACAGAGGAAGAGGTTCTATTTCAACTGTCAAAAGTAAAGAAAAATAAGTCAATGGGGCCTGATGAAATACGTGCAAAGTTATTAAAAAAGCTTACTGGTGTACGAGCAAAACCATTAATAGATTTATTTAACCAATCATTGCCAACAGGAGTAGTCCCAGAAGATTGGAAGTTAGCGAATGGTGTGCCCATTCACAAGAAAGGTAATAGGGAGGAGTCGGGGAACTATAGGCCAGTAAGCCTTACTTCAGTAGTGGGGAAAGTAATGGAAACTATGTTAAAGGATAGGATTGTTGAACATCTAAAATCACATGGATTTCAAGATCAGAGACAACATGGGTTTACTTCAGGGAGATCATGCCACACTAAACATTGATTTTTTTTGATTGGGTAACTAAAATAATAGATCAGGTTGGTGTAGTAGACATTGCTTACCTAGATTTCAGTAGGGCTTTTGACACTATTGCACATAGAAGGCTTATCAATAAACTGCAAACTTAAAGTTTGGATTCCAATATTGTTGAATGGGTAAGGCAGTGGCTGAGTGACAGGCAATAGAAGGTTGTAGTCAATGGAGTATATTCAAAGCCAGTGGGGTACCTCAGGTATCTGTACTTGTACCCATTCTTTTTAATATTTTATTAGTGATATTGCAGAAGGTCTTGATGGCAAAGTATGTCTTTTTGCTGATGATACTAAGATATGTAACAGGGTTGATTTTCCAGCAGGGATATGCCAAACGGCAAATGATTTAGGTAAACTAGAAAAATGGTCAGAGTTGTGGCAGCTGACATTTAATGTGGATAAGTGCAAGACAATGCATCTTGGATTGCAGGATAAAACTTACCAGGAAAGGTTAAAAGGATCTTAACATGTATATCTTGGAGGAAAGACGAGATGGGGGAATATGATAGAAACATTTAAATACATAAAGGAGGAGACAATATTTAAAAGAAAAACTACCACAACAAGAGGTCTTAAATTAGAAGGGCAAAGGTTTAAAAACAATATCAGGGAGAATTACTTTACTGAGAGAGTAGTGGATGCATGGAATAGCCTTCTAGCTGAAGTGGTAGAGGTTAACACAGTGAAGGAGTTGAAGCATGTGTGAGATAGGCATAAGGCTATCCTAGCTATAAGATAAGACATGGGACTAATGAAAGGATTTAGAAAATTGGGCAGACTAGATGGGCCGAATGGTTCTTATCTGCCATCACATTCTATGTTTCTATGTTCTGCAGCTTTTGCAAGCAGTTTTATCATATACCCACCAATAAAACATGCAGAGATAATACATGTTTCCTATGGTGCTGCCATCTTATCCGCACCTTACTTTTCCAGAACTGGTGACTATTTATGCATTACCATGAGACCTTCCATCTTGCATATGTGCATTAAGGCACCAATAATTCTGATATAAAAAACTATTACCCTTCTATCCAGCCCAGTCATCACATTGGTTCCATGGGTGTTATGCCTAACTCCCATATACCCAACCCAGTTTTTCCAGGTAGCATTTCCCCAAGTAGAGTCCTCTTCTCTAATGACACCAACATGCTGGCTCCATTGCCATTGCATTGGTGTGAAAACAGGTTGATATTTCTCACTTTATTCCTATGTTACTCTAGCAAGGAGTCTTACAGGAAGCAGAGGACATGCGCTGTAGTTGCTATACAGATTGACAGGTGAAAGAGTAACCATATTCTTAAATAGGATTATTATTTTGTGTTTTTTTTCAATAGAGCATAAGTCAGTGCACCCATGACGGGTTCTCTCTGAAGGATATTTTTTGTTTCTCATCATATCAAATTGTAAATTTAGAAGCAGATTGTATTAACCAGCATTTATTGGTACCAAAACCCTACTGAAAGTTATATACAGTTGTAGTCAAGCAATGGATGTTTAAAATATACGGCTGGGGTTCAAACTACATTTTAAAGGACATCAGATTTCTAAATAATTAAAGTATTTGTGCTCCTTTAAATGCTACTGCACCTATATAGCGATCAAGCAGGAGCAGACCTTAGCCATCTTTGCCTTTTTTGTTCTTAAATAGAAGCAAAATAAATCTTTACTCATGTGCCATTGTTACTCTAAATGCCTTCTATGGTTGATTTAACAGCTCAGACACTCCTATAAAACCATAGTCTGTAGCTCACCTGTGTGTATCTGGAGATGCGTTCGCAGGTTGCTGGGATCACTGAACGCCTTGCTGCAGAACTCACATTTATGTGGTTTCATGCCCATATGGCCCATATAATGCACATTGAGTTTGTATGAGGAGGAAAAAGCACGAGAACACATGGAACATATCCACTTCCGTACACTGCTGGGTGCCAGTCCTGGATTTGTTGCCCCACTGCTTAGTGACTCGTTCGGTAGGTGGCTGTTCAAGTGACTGTTAAGGTGAGACTTGAAATCTGCATAAGACAAGTACTCCTTTCCACAATGGCACACAAGAAGCTCTGGTTGCTCTGGAAGGCCTAACAAAATAAAAATCCACGCACAAAGCTTCAAATATAAGCCAAACAATAAATATGTAAATATAACAATGGTAATTCTGCATTATTGAGAGCCAACAATTAAAAAAAAACTTAAGATATGCAGTATTAAAATGGAAAATCAAGTAATTAATAATAATAATCTTAAAGGTATCTGTATGCGACCAAGGTTTATTAATGTTATCACTGCAGATGCACAAGTTTTATTTGTTGGTGTTCTAAAAACGGTCCATACTCCACATAATTGACTTTAGAACTACTTCTTTACTACTGAAAGACACTGAAAAGCATGTTGATTTTTCCATTTTTCCTAGGTGTTTGTAGAACCATAATGTTCTAAATTTTTCATTAAGTACACCTACACACATACGGCTTTAATTTCATTTCATATATATGTTTTTAGAGACCAATATGCACATTAATGAAACATAAAAAAAGGGTTTCACAATATGTCCCGATATTGGAAAACAATTTCACAAACCTATTACCTTAGAATTAAAGTTTTCATTTTACTCAAATATCAGCAACATGTAGTCTTTAATAAATTATTTTTGTCCAATGTTTGTTTACAATATCTTATGAAATTAAGATAGACTTACAGTATATCACTGAACCATCTGCCTAAAAGATTTTGATAGATTCTGGTTAATATCATTATGCAGTACTATCTACAAGTTGATGCAGATTATTTTTACTGTATAAGTCCAAACCAACCTAGTGATCTTGGATCTAGTAAACATCAGAGTTTATAAAACCACACATGGTCATATTTGCTGTACTGTTCTTACCCAACTGGCAGGCATAGTCCCTGCTGTAATAGAAGAGAAGCTCTTCCTGGGGTTGGATGTCTTTTGAGGTACAAAAGTAAATTTTTCCATCGTGAGGGTAAGCAACAAGATTCTGTTCCTCTGGTTTCCTTAACATGAGATTACAGTGTAAACATGAAACTGTCATACGACTACACTTGCTTTCAGATTACAAGATTATTCCTCTACATTGGTAAGCATTAATATGTCCCACTCTCATACAATATTTGGTGTATTCACAGCATGGAAAAATAATTAGCATTACTTCATGACATATAGTATTATAATTTCATGTCTAAACATATGCCAGCTAAAGATACAATAAACTTCACCCAGCATATGAGTAATCAGTCGACGCAGCATTAAAAAGTGAGAGAAGGCGAGTGTGCACAAATATGTATATTATTTTTCTCCCAGTCGGAGACTGAAACGATCATCCTTAAAAGTAACACACTATAGTTATAAAAGTGATGTTTAGGTGGCTATCCACCCTATGAGAGAAGTAAAAGGTGATTTTACCTACCTTTTTCCAGCTTATTTTTCTTCAAAAATACACAAAAATACTCTGCTCACATGGATATCAGACAATTACAAACATAGGGTTTATAAAAAAAACTAAATACAAATAAAATGTGTTAAATATGTGTAGAACATTTATTGGCATCCCAACAAATTAATATGAGAAAAATATATTTGAAGTATATTCCAACTGATATTTAAAATTTTTAGTACACCTGGGTGACTAGGAATAATAAAATTCTTCGACTACCTGCTACACAGGGGTATAAATATGAGGTAACACATAACCCATATTCACATAGGCATTCATCACAATGGATAAGACCAAGGAATATAGCTGTGATGTGTGGTTGATGAGCTTCAAAAAAATGGGAATTTAAAATTAGGTAAATACAACGTCAGATGAACAAGAGGTAATGATTTTTTTTAACCAAATTAAAGTCAAAATGGAGAAGCCAAGTGTGAAAAATGAAGTTCACCTTATGATTCAACAGCTTGTACTTAATAGCAAGAACTTTAATAAGAAATTGTTTTCTATATGACTTTATCAGTCTGTCACATGTTGTGGAGGAATTTTGTCCCACTCTATTTACAATGTTGCTTCAGTTAATTGCGGTTTGTTGGCATTTGTTTATGCACAGCCAGCTAAAGTCCGGCAACAGTATTTTAATTGAGTTGAGGTCTGGACTTTGACGGGGCCATTGCAACACCTTGATTCTTTTCTTTTTCAGCCATTCGGTTGTAGATTTGTAGGTGTGCTTGAGATCACTGTCCTGTTGCATGACCCAATTTCAGCCAAGCTTTAGCTGTCGGACAGATGGCCTCACATTTGACTCTAGAATACATTGGTATACAGAGGAGTTCATGGTCGACTCAATGACTGCAAGGTTCCCAGGCCCTGTGGCTTAAAAACAAGCCCAAATCATCACCTCTGAACCACTGTGCTTGACAGGTGGTATGAGTTGTTTGGCTATAATACACAGCGCCATGTTTGGGAAGAACCAAACATCTATACTTTGGTCTTGTCTCTCCAAAGGACAACGTTCCAGAGGTGTTGTAGTTTGTTCAGATGCAACTTTGCCAACCTAAGCTGTGCTGCCATGTTCTTTTTAGAGAGGAGATTCTTCCTTCTGGCAACCCTTCCAAACAAACCATACTTGTTCAGTCTTTTTCTAATTGAACAATGAACGTTAACATTTACCGTGCTAACTGAGGCCCGTAGAGTCTGAGATGTAACCCTTTGCAATTTCTCTGAGCATTGCACAGTCTTACCTTGGGGTGAATTTGCTGGGAAGTCCACTTCTGGGAGCATTGGCAACTGTCTTGCATGTTTTTCACTTTTGAATAATATTTCTCACTGTAGAATGAAGGACTTTAACTTGTTTGGAAGTGGCCCTATAACACTTCCCGTTTCATGGGATGCAATAAATGCTGCTCTAAGATCAGTGCTGATATCTTTCCTCCTTGGCATTGTGTTAACACACACCAGAACGCTCCAGACCAGGAAATTGCTAAAACTTCGGCTTTTATAGAGGTGGTCACACTTGCTGACTGTCAATTAATCAGGGGCATTGGCAGCATCCGTCTTCTACTTGGCCGCTTAATTGCTATGGAAGCAGTGTACTTGGTTTTTCTTACATGGCTTCTCCATTTTGACTTTATTTTTGTTAAATAAATTATGAAACTGTGTTGTATTTACCTAAATTTTAAGAACTGCTAAAGAACAGATTATTGTTATTATGTCAAGATATGTAAAACCATAGAATTCAAAGAAGGTGTAATATATTTATTCCAAAACTGTAGTTCTCTGTGTTGGGATCTTTTGTCGTTTTTCCTGAGAACTCTAACTTTCATCAAATGCATAAGGAAAAGTAGGGACTACATTTCCTCATATATAGAAAACAATCCGACAGTGGGTGGAGATTATGCAAGGCATCTAAATTTACCCACAACCCTCAGTAAAATCAATCCCACAAAATGGCAAACAGCAGACATCATGGACAGAGGAGTCAAAACAAGGAAGAAAAGATCATAAATATACAATAGACCTGTACCTTTTAGTGTAATTAAAAAAACATCTTAATAATCTAAAAATGAAAAACCAGTCCGGACCTGATCAAATCCCAGCAATGCTGTTGAACCTCAGTGCGCCGGCAATTGCTAAACCCGTCAACTCTAATTAACGAATCCTTGGTGTCTGGATACATACCCAAACTTTGGAAGACGCAAGAGTAGTGCCTATCCATAAAAGTGGTGACACTACTTTGGTTTCTAACTATCGTCCAATATCATTGCTCCCGGTATTGTCAAAAATCTTAGAAAAATGTGTCCATACGCAATTTTGTGAGTACTACCAACAATTAAACTATCTGACCCCTGATCAATCGGGCTTTCGCCAGAATCACTCCAACTGCCCTCCTAAAAGTTTGCAATGACATCCAAACTGGCATGGAACAAGGAGCCCTAACTGGAGCTATTTTCCTTGATTTTGCTAAGGCCTTTGACACAGTAGACCACGACATTCTACTGCACAAACTCAAAAACTCAGGTATTGGTGATCGTTCTCTAAACTGGTTTCGATCGTATGTATCGGATCGCTCGCAATATGTGTCCATTTCTGACAGGGACGCCCTCCCTCTCCCAGTCACGTGTGGTGTTCCCCAGGGTTCCATTCTCGGCCCCCTACTATTTACATTATTTATAAATGATCTGCCTAATGTCTGCCAATCCTCAAATGTACACATGTACGCAGATGACACGGTAATCAATGCGAGCAAATCCAATCTACCGCAAATTGAGGCTGTGCTCCAAGATCAGTTTACAGAGGTAGAAAAGTGGATCGCAAAAAACAAACTCTTCCTGAACACTGACAAAACTGTCACAATGATCTTTGGAATAGTACCTAAATTACACAATTCCCACCTATCCATCAAAACAAATTCAAATGGCACACTGACCGCAGTCCACTCTATCAAATACTTGGGTATGATATTAGACCCCAATCTATCTTTTGGCCTGCACATAGAAGCTTGCATCTAAACTTTATCCAAAATTAGGTGCCCTGTACAGAAACAAAGCCTGCCTAAGCCCTACAGTAAAGGAAAAGATTGTACAGCAAATGCTGATGCCAATCATTGATTATGGGGATGTAGTATATGCATCTGCATCGCAATCCCACATTAATAAACTCAACACATTGTATAACTCGTTCTGCCGATTTGTGCTACAATGTAATTACAGGACCCATCATTGTGACATGCTAAAAGAACTAAACTGGCTATCGCTGGAATCCAGACGCACCCTTCATCTTTCCAGCCTTGTTTTTAAGAGCTTTTCTGGGAAACTCCCACCCTACCCGAACAAAATTCTTTCCCCAGCTGTTCCCACTTTCTATAAGCTCCGATCCAGTACAAGCACTTTACTTAGTCTACCTCAATACAAAAAGAAAGCAGCCCGATCCTCCTCCTCCTACAGAGCACCGCAATTGTGGAACGACCTCCCGCACAATTTAATATCTTCCCTAAGCCTAAAGTCATTTAAGAGATCCCTCTCTACATACCTCAAAACAGAATGCATGTGTCATGGTTGATTATATATTTCCTGCCTGTTTTATGTTAAATTTTGTATATATTGTGTATTAATATTGTTTTTGTATTTTGTTGTACCCTAATGTAACAATGCAATGATTTGTGGACCCAGGACATACTTGAAAACGAGAGAAATCTCAATGTATCTTTCCTGGTAAAATATTTTATAAATAAATAAAGACAAGTGGCCAGGAGGATAGTATAATCACTAAGATACAAGAGGCATAAGGAAATAAAAACGAAAAGAGAAAGAAAAAAACAAAGCCATGAAAAATGGCCACTTTAAACATTTATGGACAAACGTTAGAGTCCGAGGCCTCATTATCCTCCCAGAACAAGTATGCCCTTTATGGGCACTGTTTATGCCTACAAGAAAGAATATCACATAAATTGCAAACTGTGGAAGTGATGCACAATGTTCTGCATTGAGACGCTGGATGTTCCTCAAAGAGGTGCACGGATTTAATGCATCTCTATGAGGAGATGCTGATTGGCGCAGTGCGGCAATTCCCTATGGGAAAACATTGGATTGGCTGAGTTTGTCAAACTTGATGATTTCAGTCAAGGAGACGGAGCACTGGCAGGGCCAGCCATTAAGAGACCAGCGCGGCACTGGAAGAAAGATATGTAACCTCACTTTTTGTTTTTAAACTGACCTACACTAAACATACACCTGCTGCACTACCCACCCAGATAAATGCTTCAGTAGTGATTACTGGGGTTGAACCATTTTTTTAATGGTTCAAAGTAGGTAAACTACTTACCTCGCCTTCCGTACAAACATCATCCAGTTACATTCATTTTCGTCATTTGTGATGATGCAGAAGTCCATCACTCCACCCTGGTACATCTAAAGATAAATGACAGATTACAAAACACAGATCAGACAGATACAATAGACCAATCTTTCCCATGATACCACTTTGGTGGAAGCGAATATGTCCTGGTAACATCAAAAGGAGGAAACACAAAAGTAAGTGGATACTTTTTTCTTCCATGAGAATGTTTTGACTGTTTCTGAATTATATGGTTTGGCTTTTTGAATTCCCGAGGACATTAATCTTTCATGTAATGTCATGACTGCAGATTTCAGTTTTCCATAGTCAATCAACTGACAGATGCATGATCAACAGCTTTTACAGGATCTATACCACAATCACTCACTGTAACTGAACCTTGTTAGTATGTACTGAAGGTTTATTTTATGTAAGTTAATTTTTTTACAGCATATGCTGTACTATATTGCCACAGCTAACATTTTTACACCTATTATAAGTGATTTCCACTTTGACCATAGCTCACATTAGTATATATATTGGCAACACTAATCAATACTGAATTATATATGTTTTTAGTTTCTTTGACAGTACTGATTTATAATACAAACAGATTTGTTCTTTTAGGTAATGCTACACAAGTTTAATTTACCTATCTCAGGCATGCTGTATATTTGTACCCACCTCAGTTGCCAGGACAGGAAATAACTTCAAGAGACCAATTATTTCTAGCTGTCCCCAAAACAATATACAACCCGTAGTATCTTATGGTCTTTGAAGCCTCAAGAATATATAGGTTCAAGTCTAAAAAAACAAATTGTGAATTCACCCAGTGATTTAATTTTCATATAAATGACATACTTCCCCCTAAGACTCCTTTAACTATTTAAAAATAGTACCAAACAAAAAAACGTTACTTACTGTAACCTCAGTAGAGTGGCAGTACTGCACAAGACGGTTGTTCCCTCTTATGTGGACAAGAAGCTCTGAAAGATATAAATATGTAAATACTCGCGCCTTCCTGCTCATAAAAGGCAGTTACCTCCTTCCATCCACAGTTTTCTTAATAACCATACGGAGATCAAAATACGGCAAAATATCATTTATTATCCAATGGGAGGGAAAGAATGCAGTACTGCCACTCTACTAAGGAAAATAGTATTTACGGTAAGTAAAATTACTGTTTTTCCTATAATAAGTGGCAGTAATGCACAAGTGGGATATAGCAAGATCCCTTAAAGCAAATAGGCGGGTAATTAGTAAGCCACTGCTTGGAGCACCTTTCGCCCAAAAGCGGCTTCAGAGGAGGAGAATATGTGATGCCTGTAATGTTTTATGAAAGTGTGGAGCGAGGACCAAGTAGCAGCTCTACAGATATCTTCTGAAGAAGCCGATGACCTCTCAGCCCAGGTAGTAGACATGGCTCTGGTGGAGTGTGCTTTGACCGAAAAGTGAAGGGAGACATTGCTGGTTTTATAGGCCAACTGGCTAATGTAGCCCTGGAAGCCATCTTGCTTTTAAATGCACCTTGGAAATTAATAAATAGATGGTCAGAAATCCTGTAAGGGGCTGATCTGCGGAGGTATATTTCCAACGCCATTCTAACATGTAGGCACTGCCAATTCTTCTCTGTTTCCGTAGAGTGGTCTTGACAGAAGGAAGGCAGAACAATAGCTGGTTGAAGTGGAGTCGAGAAACCACTTTAGGTAGAAACGAAGGTCTGAGGTGTAAAACCACTTTGTCTTGGTGAAAGATCTTAAATTCTAGAGCAGAAGACATAGCTCGCAGTTTCCCAACCCTTTTTGCATAAGTAATCGCTACCAAGAATGCGGTTTTAAACGTCAACATCTTCAAAGAAATCTCTATGCGCAGGTTCGAAAGGGGAATTGCACATCACTTTGAATACTACAGACAAATCCCAGGTGGGAAAGGAAGAAATACGAGGAGGACATTTTAGATAAACAGGCTTAAAGAATCTATGAAGAAAGCCTGTTGGACGCCAAATCCTTTACCATAAAATGACCGAGGGCAGAAACTTGTACTTCAAGTGATGAGACACTAAGGCCTCAGTGGAAACCTGATTGAAGAAAAGCCAGGATACAAGGAATGGAAGACCAACCATCTTCATCTTCAATATCCCTTGATAACCACCACTGTAAAAACATTTGCCAAATCCAGAGGTTAATCTTCGTGGTAGAATTACGAGTGGAGGAAAGGTGGGTATCACAGATGGAGTCTGAAATACCCTGCTTCTTGAGAATTTTCCTTGCAGCAGCCAAGCCTTCAATCGACACATTCTTAATGTTTCCATAGGGATGTCTGGGTTCCAGTAAGCTTGGAGAGCAAGGACCAGCTCCGGTTCGACCAATAAGGGAGGATAGCCAACACCCTTGCCTTGTCTGCACGGATTTTCTGTACAATTCCAGGTATTAATGCTACTGGAGGGAAGATGTATGCCATCTTGAAATTCCAAGGGATTGAAAATCTGTCCAGAACTAGAGGGAGATCTTGTTTCATAATGGAAGCAAAAGTGTCTTACTTTCGCATTCAGTCTGTTGGCCATAAGATCCATCTCTGGTAGTCCAAACATTCTGACTAGAATCTTGAATGTGTCTGGATAATGGGACCATTCTATCTGAGTCCAGTGTTGGCTGCTCAGGTCTGGCACTATGTTGTCTGAGCCTTTGATGTAAGTTGCTGAAATGGACTCTAGTTCTATCTAAAGCCCAAGCCATGCTCTGCGCATAGAGCCTTTGGAGTGTTTTATACCTTTGTACCTCCCTGACGGTTCAGGTAAGCGACAGTAGTGAGATTGTCTGACTGAATCCACACTGATTTGTTTCGGATTTCTAGATTGAAAAGCTAGAAGGGCATTTCAAACAACTTTCAATTCCCTGACCAGGAACCTAGGTGAAAGTGATCCCAGATGTGCACCCCAACCTGTGACTGATGCATCTGTATTTATAGTGACCCAATTTCTTTGCTTGAATGAGAGATTGATTATCATGAAGCTTGAGTCCATCCACCAATTCAGTTGACTTTTTACTCTGTCTGAAATTTGAATCTCTTGTTTCAAAAGAGAAGAAAATCTGGACAATTTTGACAAGATATCCCATTGCAGAGGTCTGATCTTGATCTTGATCACTTTACCACCAGGATGGTGGATGTAGGAGGCTTGTCTGACCGAACACCGATTTTTTTCTAAAGAGTACAAATCTCTTGTTTTATTCTTCTTAGTTTCTTTCTTGGCAAGAAACAGAATACGTGTGGTGGAAAAAAAAAAAAAAAAAACTTTTTGGGGAATTTATTATCCAAACGTGAGCCTGCAAAAAACGGAGTGGTAAGCAGAAGATTCCTGTACAGTTGTTCCATTGATTCTGCCTTCAGCAGCCAAAAAGTAAGAGACAATGGCAATGTCCTTTATTCTCAGTGCGGCCGTTAAAGGTAGAAGGATCTTCGAGAAAATACAAGGAGCTGAAGATAGGCCAAATGGAAGTGACCTGAACTGGAAATAGAGAAATGTTTGTTTGCCTCATTTTATTGAAAACCTGAGAAACCTTCTTGAGCTTGCGGCCATAGGCACATGAAGATAGGCGTCCTTGAGATCTATTTTTGCCATGTAATCTCTGTTTTGAAGAATGAGTGACTGCAGCTCTGGATGCATTCCAGAATGCTGAGCATCCTCTGATGAAGTGATCGACGCTCACGAAACGCGTTAGGCGGCATCTCCACATCGGTTCCCTGGGAAGCAGCATTCTGGAACGCATACAGAGCTGCGGTGGAACGCACGCGGCCAATATCTAGTGTTATCCCAGCACGAGGAGGTCCGGACGCACTCCTAACTGGCCGGCAACTGGTCAACACCATCTCTGGACCCCGGGTCTGTAAACCAGATATCTATTGCTTGCTGAATTGGGACTATATGGTACATTTCTTATTAGAGTCTTTTTTATAAATGTGTGTTGTATTGACAGTTTTATTGTGATAATAAATAATTTTTTTATTGATCTACTGTCTGCTACACTATATAATAAGACTTAAGGACTTTTAACCCCTTGTGGGATATAAGCAATTTGATTGAGATCTTTTTATTTATTTTTTTATTTTATAGCATGTTGTAGTTTTAATGTGTACTGGTTCCACACTACATCAGTTATAGAACCTTTACTAGATTAATTTCTCAGCAGCTTTGGATTCTTCCTACCTTTATTAAGGTGGGTAAGGACCTGACTAGCTGATACATTCATATTAAGGATAAATTGAATACATTGTTTCTGTTCCATTAGACATCCTGTATTCCCATTTCCACTGAGTCCTGTCTATACCATTGGTTGATTTCAATAGGCACCCGGAATTTTGAAAAAAATTAACTCCAAGTAGTGGTTACTCCAGACAGTGATACGGTGGTTATGGTGGCTATTTTTTGGTCTTGAACTTTAACTTAAGAGGGTCATTCTACCAGCTATTGGTGTTTATCCATCGTAGTTCCGTATCTATTTGTTTAATAATGCCTTCCAGTGTACATCTGAACAGTTTGTTCCTCTCAAAAGGCAGTTCACACAGATTTGCCTTAGATGCTGTATCAGCCATCCAAGATCTGAGCCACAGGGCCCTCCTTCTCAGGAGTCTTAAGAGCACGCTGTCATGCTTTACCGAATCTTTAAATGATTCAAACTTTGAGATAGGTTTCCCTGAAACCAGCTGAAAAAAAGATTGCATCTCCTTTTGTTTCGATTTTTCTAAGGATTCTGCAGCTCATTTTTCTGCATCTGTCTGGCAGCGGAACAGCACATTCCAAGCAGCAGAAGTGTTTAGCTTTACATGTAGCCTTCCTGGGAGGTAGAGTCAACATTTTTTATTTGTCCTTGTCTAGGGATGCAGGACTGGACATATCTAAAATAAAATATCAGAAATAAAATCTGAGGAAAGTAGAGACTAATTAATCTCACCTCAAAATACCTCACTGCCATGTGGGAGGGCTGGTGACACTAAACTGGATACTGGCAACCACCCAGGTATCAGTATGTTCAGCACAGCTTAAAAAGGCATTTTCACTGCAAATTTCCATGCGCACTGGTGCGATCAGAAATTCAGTGGAACGCAAGGCCACCCGGGCGTGCGTCCCACTGCTGTGCGCAGGCGCATGGCCTGCTTCTGGAATGGAGGGCCACCCGGGACCTCCTACTTCCTCCTGGCATAATGAAAACCCCCCTTCCACTTGCGTTCCGTAACGCTCGTGTGGAAGGGGTACCTCTCAACTCACATCCCAGGGAGCTTTCGGGTCCGCATCTCCCAGGCTGCAACCTGTGCGCCTCACCAGTCTGTCCTGGAGCATCTTGTCCGCCCCGTTGTCGGGACAAGAAGAACTCTGGATGGAAAGAGGTAACTGCCTTTTATGAGCAGGTAGGCGGGAGTATTAAAATGTTTATATCTTTCAGAGCTTCTTGTCCACATAAGAGGGAACATCCTACTTGTGCAGTACTTCCACTTACGACAGGAAAAGAAGAATATACAACAAAAATAACCCATACAGTATTAATGTAAATAAAAATAAACTTATATTGTGAATGCATTCACAAGAAAATAGAAATGAGAGATGTATCCCAATCAATCAACTTCAGATTGCACTTAAAGAAAGAGGTATTTCGTCAAGTACACTTGCTGCCACCAGAAGGACTTTTGGTCGCCTGACACTGGACATCCAGCATCATGTAAAACCCATAAGAAAGTATTATGCATGCTTTCCTATTGGGGGAAATAGTAATGCACCGACTAGTGTTAAATAGGCCAAATAACCAGTAATCCAAAGATTTAGAGCATGCCTTATATCAGACTTCACCAAGAGTTTCTCCCTTCCTTGGATTCCACCTCAAGTACTACAGATGCCCGTTGTATACCTCCTTACACATGTTTGGGTTCTAATTAGAAACATTTTTTGTTAGATGGACCTTGTAATCCATTCATTATTTCCTGTCTTTCAAAACCTTAAATGTTCTGTATGCACACTATATTTACCAAAATATCCTCTAAATTTAAAAAAAAAATATATATATAGGACAGACTCAAATCCTTCTGATTATATAATTGAACCCTAAAGTGAAAGTTGCAGCAATCTTGAGCACTATAGAAGTTAGGTTTATTTTGGTACAAGAAGCTAGGACCTCACTGAACCAAAATTTCACACAAAGATGGCCACTGTGGTTAAATTTCGTGAAAGAAAAATTTTAAAAAACTGCATGTATTGCAATACCAATGCTGAAAATTGGGTTAATTTGGGTTAATTAAAAATGGTCAAGCAACCAAGTTTACAATTTGGGCCACTTGAGATGGACTGACCATTACAAGAAGCCCAAAACCTGAGGCGGACTTTACACTGAAATATGCTGAAATGCATAACTAAGGAACAGGGGAAGTGACAAAACAGCTCATTAAAACACGCATGTCTCTGGTTGGCAGAGTATTATAGCAGTTCATGAAAACTCTTCTGTCATCAGCTGAGACAAGCAGAACAATAAACATACATCTGACCTTCCAGATGTGGCTGGCAGACTTGTCATTCCAGTCAGCAACTTCTAGGGACTGGCTCTCCTGCCCTATCAATGGGCCAAAGCACGTCCGAACAAGGATAGTCTCCTGCGTCCAAACCCCTGTGTATGGTGAAGCACATGCATTGTTATCAGTGCACTTATTATCCAAGTCATGCTACAGGAATGGTGAAACTTAACTTTTTTCTTTTTTTTCTTTTTTTAAACGTAGAGAACTTTTAGAACCAACAATTGTTATCACATGAATTTTGTATAATCTGTACAATGTTCCAGAAAAAAACATAAATGCAATCCTTCACAATCCAAATGCATGTAGATTACAAACACAAATACATGTAAAAACAGAGAAGACATATGAGCTGGAATTGGTAATCAGGATCAAACAAACGATGACATTTGAGACTGCATACACTTCTCTTACCTATGTCGGCTCCTGTCACAGAGTCCCTGAGAGACAGCTGCTTGGGAAGAGACAATCGTGCCCTGCTTTCAATGGGGCTGTCAGCTATAAAGGTGACTGGTCCATGCTCAGGACAGTCAGATGGATATGCCCGGTCACACAATGTGCACCCTGTTGAGAAGATTGTTTAAATTACATTAAACAATTCAAAATCTAAACATTTGTAATCCAGAACCAAACTGAAATGTTAACTCAAGATTCCAAGATTATTAATAAAAAAACTAACACTTTTTTTGTTAAAAATAGATCATTAAAGTGTTATATGGCCTCTGCTAAAATAATAAATGTTGTAGGACTATGGTAATGCTGTTCAATTTAGGGTTTGCCACACAGCAAATAAAATAATGGAAATATGGATTCAGTTGCAAATAAATAAAAATCAGTTAAAGCAAAAATGCTGGCCTTTCATTAAATTATTATTATGTTATTATTTATATTATGCCTGGAAAGTCTTTTCATGATCTAGCACTACAATGTGATTCTGAAAATGTAGTATTTTATTAATGACACACAAGGTCAGCTTTGTTATGTTATATTCCAAGCAATATATGGGCCAGAAAATGCTTACATAAAATAATGATAACCTACCATAGTAAGGATACAGGTCTAATCTGAGGGCTGTGTGTGCATTCATACACTCAGATTGCCAAGCCCAACATCATCATGATGTCTAGTGCACACAGTATTGAAGGAGCATGGTAAAAGGATACTATAGTCTCCAAAACAACTTAATGGACCACTATAGGCACCCAGACCACTTCAGCTTAATGAAGTGGTCTGGGTGCCAGGTCCATCTAGGAGTAACCCCTTTTTTTAAATGTTTTATTAATTCTCCTGTGTGTGAGCCTGTCAGAGTGTGTGTGTGTGTGTGTGTGTATGTGAGCCTGTCAAAGTGTGTGTGTGTGTGAGCCTATCAAAGTGTGTGCGTGTGTGTGTGTGAGCCTGTCAAAGTGTGTGTGTGCGTGTGTGTGCGTGAGCCTGTCAAAGTGCGTGTGTGTGCGTGAGCCTGTCAAAGTGCGTGAGCCTGTCAAAGTGCGTGTGCGTGCGTGAGCCTGTCAAAGTGCGTGTGCGTGCGTGAGCCTGTCAAAGTGCGTGTGCGTGCGTGAGCCTGTCAAAGTGCGTGTGCGTGCGTGAGCCTGTCAAAGTGCGTGAGCCTGTCAAAGTGCGTGTGTGTGCGTGAGCCTGTCAAAGTGCGTGTGTGTGCGTGAGCCTGTCAAAGTGCGTGTGTGTGCGTGAGCCTGTCAAAGTGTGTGTGTGTGCGTGAGCCTGTCAAAGTGTGTGTGTGTGAGCCTGTCAAAGTGTGTGTGAGCGAGCCTGTCAAAGTGCGTGTGTGTGAGCGCCTGTCAAAGTGTGTGTGTGTGCGAGCCTGTCAAAGAGTGTGTGTGTGCGCGAGCCTGTCAAAGAGTGTGTGTGTGCGCGAGCCTGTCAAAGAGTGTGTGTGTGCGCGAGCCTGTCAAAGAGTGTGTGTGTGTGTGTGTGTGCGCGAGCCTGTCAAAGAGTGTGTGTGTGTGCGCGCGCGAGCCGGTCAGTGTGTATGCCTGTCAGTGCCTGTATGTATGTGTGTGCAAGCCTCTCAGAATGTGTGTGTAAGTCTGTTAGAGTGCGTGCGTGCAAGCCTGTTGTCAGCATAAGAGTGTGTGTGAGCCTATCAAGAGTTTGTGCGTGCAAGCCTGTTGTCAGCGTGTGTATGTGAGCCTGTCAGCGTGTGTGCGCGTTTAGGTACCTGCCCCCTCCGATAGCTTTTACTCACCTTTTTTCCCCCCATTTTCTCACGCCGTACCAGTTTCCCCATGATCTTTCTGATCTCAGCTAAGCCAATGCTTTCCCTTAGGAAAGCATTGGGAGGATTTTGTGCATGCGCAGCAAATTTACCAATCCGCATCTCCTCATAGAGATGCATTAAATTAATGAATCTCTATGAGGAACATTAGGCACCTCCATGTAGAGCTTGGCGATACTGAACCTGGGTGCTGCATGTTGTGCAGCAGTGACCCAGGACTCTCTAGTGACCGTCTGAGTGACTGTCACTAGAGGTGTTGCTAAGCAGCAATGTAAATTCTGCCTTTCCACAGAAAAGGCAGTGTTTACACTAAAATGCTTGCAGGGACAGGCTATAGACACCAGAACAACTACATAAAGCTGTAGTGGTTCTGGTTACGATAGTGTCCCTTTAAGAATTGCATTTTCTTGTTGAAAATGACTGGCTCCTAGATTCCAAACAAATTTGTCAAGCCCTGTTTTAACCTTTATGTCTAGACAATAATCTAGGTTTACTGCCACTTAAGTATACCTTCAGTTTGTTATTTTTCTATTATAAAAAGTGCATTGTTATCATATGACATGCTACCCTGCATCCCAGGTGTTTATTACCGTGTATATTCCTGTTAGTATGCCTTACTATGCACCCAAAAATAAAGGATATAAAACGTGGTTTAAACAAACACCTTTATTTCCAACACTTTAGGGACCGTGTCCAAAGTAAAACAGATGTCCACCCCCCCAAAGCCTGTGTGTGCGATAAAAATAATAAAATAAAGCGTTCTACTTACCTTTTTCCAAACCCAGAATCTCTGTGTTCTTCACCTCTGTTTCTCTTGCAAAGTCAAGTAGGAGTTGCTGCTTTGTCCAACGTTGGTCCATGATGTGCATGCGCAGAGAGTGCTGCCTGAGCATTAAAGATTCCCCATAGGAAAGCAGTGAACTAAGGTTTTACTTGGTCAGTACCACACAATTACCTCTAATGGCTATCAGTATGACAGCAACTAGAGGTGGATTTAAAGGAACTCTATGGGCATCCAGACCAATTCATCTCAATAAAGTGGACTGGGTGCCATGTTTCTATATTTTAAACCCTGGAACTGAAAACATTGACATTTACTAGATACAACAGTATTTACATTGCAGGATTAACATGCTTCCGTGGCAGTCTTCCTGAAAGTCCTATTACACAACTCCACCTCAATAGCTTGAAATTAAACTCGGCTATTCATAGAGACCAACTGAGTGTTGCACATGCGTACTAGTCTCCTAAAGTTTCCCTATGGGAAAACATTGCATTGGCTGATATAATCAACATGGAGCAGCATCATGGAGACCAGCACAGCGAGGGCTGAAAGATAAATCCCCTGGGAGCCAATCATAATAAAAACAGTTAAAGCAAGTAATTCCTGTAAGAGGCTCCCAGGGTGATCAGTCAGACTTAGGGCCAGAGACTATTGCTGTGCTGCCTTATTGTGGGGTAGGCCGGCAGCAGCCAGCTGATCCTAGCATGCATCGCGGCAGCCGGGAATCAGCTATCAATCATGCCATAGGACTCCTGCCACAGTCACAGCCGTCATGCGGTTGTGACAGTCTCGGGAGAGAGACTGCCCAGTAACAGCATGTACATGCTCCATTAACAGAGATTGCAGCATGTACAACTTATAATGGAGGTTCCAGGGCTGAGCTTGATAGGCATGGCAGTTAGCAGTCCCTGCAATTGTCTGCATTGTGGGACCTTAATACTGGTGAGACATATGGAAATAATATTGCTGTGACATAAGGGGCACTAAAAACAAATCTGTATGTGGTATGGAGCACATTGCAAAGTATCTGACAACTCTGTACCCCATACAGACAACAGGTAAATACTGAATTCAACAGAAGAAAGGGGTGCAGATCTGCACAAACAGCAACCATGCCTCAAAAGTCTGTGCACTGTACAATACGTCATGAAATTAATAACCAAAGCAGGCACAGCTGGAAAGTCTACAGATTTTTCCAACAGTTTCTTAACAACCATGAAGCCAAGTCACTATCTGGAAGATTTATAATTATTATTTGTCATGGCATGGCTGCTTTTCCATACAGACTAAAACAAAACTTAAAAACAGCGATTCCCAAACTGTGTGCCGTGGCGTCCCAGACACTGTGTGTCACGGAATGTTTCCCTGGTGCTATGATTATAGCCCCGGGAAACATTACTGCTTAACAGGTGCCGGTCGAGTGCCTCAGTACTTTAAGACCGAGGCACTCGACCGGCCCCTGTTAAGCAGTAATGTTTCCCGGTGCTGTAAATATTAAGGGCGCCTTGAACGTAAAAAGTTTGGGAACCACTGACTTAAAATCAATTAAATAATATTAAATCCTCCTACTCACAGATTGTAAACAGGGTTGCCATGTTATCTTTGTTGGCATTTGAGTCAATCTGCAGTGAGGTTGGGACAAAAGTCAGGTTTCCTGCATCAACATGTGAAACTCCCATGGAGACATCCTGGGTTATGGAAGACACAGTCACTGGCTCAAGGCTTATGGTGCCACCTTGCAGGGACACTGAGGTTAAGGATGAAAGTGGGTGAGAGGTAGACAGTGCAACACTCACTGGGTTGTTGCTCAGGGCAACTGTGTGAATGGCATCACTGAGACTGCTTTCTGACATGCTGGACCGAGCTGCCATATGATGCTCAGTATCCATTACTACTGGAAGCTCCAATGATCCACTGTGTAATGGCAAAACACCAGAATGGCCAACTGCATCAGGAGGTAGGTTACCATCTACTGTCATTATCTCATGGGAGCGTTGAACATTTGATATCTGTGCATGATCTCCAGTCACACCTTCTATGGTGAGTTCTTCAGTAATGTGATCAGTTGTGATAGGGCTGTTTACTCTTGACACATTGTCAATGCTGATACCAGTATCCAGTTGCACCTCGTGGCCATCACTGGGATGTAAACTCTGACCAGCATGACCAACGACTGATCGAGAATCCAGTGAAACAATACCATTCTCAAGGCCAACAGAACCACCAGGCTGGTAGGGGTCAAGTGAAGGGTTGCTGTTTGACACAGATAGGCCATTGTTACCATCAACATTTAGTGAACTTGGGTGAATGTACTGAGGAGGTGGCCGGTCAGCTAAATAAGAGAGGATTCCTGCAAGGTAAGCATAAAACATTATTATGCACTAAGAAATATTTGTAAACAAAACAAATACAAAACAGTTTTACAAAGGCATTTGAGTGTAAAAGTGTACTGCTGTAAAAAGGCATCCCCATGGCCACATTTGCAAGATGTCAGCTTCTTTATTATTGTAGCAGTGGCTAAGATCTTAAAGGTTACCTGCGATGACAAATGCAACGTAATCTAAATAATAGAGAATCCAATTTCATCTATACATTCTGCTAGCAGATTTACTAGCAAATGTCTAGGTTTCTCTAAAATTAGAAATGAAAAGAAAACGTCTTTACCCCTCCTGTCAGTCAATTCAGTCTGTGCTAATCAGCACGTAGATATAGTTACATAGTTACATAGCTGAAAAGAGACTTGCGTCCATCAAGTTCAGCCTACCTCACATTTGTTATTTGCTGTTGATCCAAAAGAAGGCAAAAAAACCCAGTTTGAAGCACAATTTTGCAACAAGCTAGGAAAAAAATTCCTTCTTGACCCCAGAATGGCAATATAGAAGATGTGCTCTGCATGTCTTATCAGGGCAATTATCCTCTAGGCATCTCTCCCTCTTTCCTTCAGTCCAAGGGAAAGCTATATCTACAAGGGGATGGAGGGGCAGGCTCTGAGTGGGAGCAGTAGCAACATGAAGAGCCAAAATGATTTATTGCAGAAGATTTGGACAGGCAGTCTGAGAATGGAGAGAGAGAAAAGAAGTTGTATTTACATGCCATAAAGCCAATATAAAAAGTGTTTGGGACTTTTTAGCCTGTTATGGGAAGCAAGGCTTCCCAAACAGGGGTATGCAGGAGAGTTGAGTCTTACAACATCCACCAAAAATATGACTGATGTTCTCAGTCAGAGACAGGGGAAATGGAAATAAATGAAAGTGAAATATGATATTTTAACAGTATTGAGGGAAGAAACACTTACCTGTATAAAATGCGTCAATCCAGATGATTAAAAAATTACAAAACCTAGATCAGTCAGGACACTTTAAGGTACCGTATCAAGAAAACATTGTATTATCCAATATGACTTTAAAAAGGAGCTATCAGTTCTCTGGGAGTCAGTGTAGAATAAAAACTTGTGTTAACCTTTTTTTTCCATGAGATGCTCTATTTAATATTAAAGAATTAGCAAATGACATGGTAAAGCAGACACACTTGCAGATAAGACGGGGAAATATAAACATTGTTTAAATTCTCCTCTTTTCTGTTTGATTTCTCTATGTTGACTGCCAGGTGCAAAGAACAGAATTTTCAGCAATCAGAGATAAAACAGAGACACCCAGTAGCAGGGTAAAACTGTGTGGAATTCTACATTTAATTTGTTCACATCTCACAAATAAAAATTGGCGAAATATAGGGATAGGTAAAAATTATATTTAAAAAATCCTGGGAGTGACAATTCCTCTCATACAATCCTTTCAATATCTATCACCTTAACAAGCCACTATAGTGCCAGGAAAACATACTCTTTCCAGGCACTATAGTGCCCTGAGGGTGCCCCTACCCTCAGGGTCCCACTCCTGTGGTGCTGAGGGGGGAGGAAGGGGTTAATCCCATACCTTTTTTCCAGCGCCGGGACTCTCCTCCCTCTTCTTCCATCCTTGGCTGAATGCGCGTGCGCGGCAAGAGCCGTGTGCTTATTCAGCCAGTCTCATAGGAAAGCATTATCAATGCTTTCCTATGGACGCTGGCGTCTTCTCACTGTGAAAATCACAGTGAGAAGTGCGGAAGCGCCTCTAGGGGCTGTCAATGAGACAGCCACTAGAGGCTGGATTAACCCTAAAGTAAACATAGCAGTTTCTCTGAAACTGCTATGTTTACTGCAAAAAGGGTTAAACCTAGCTGGACCTGGCACCCAGACCACTTCATTAAGCTGAAGTGGTCTGGGTGCCTATAGTGGTCCTTTAATGTGAAAGTTGCAGTAAATTTCAGCAGACTCATTTGATGTATGCTAGCTTTGTCGATTCTGTGCTAAAAGAGAACTTGTCAAGTTGGCATGGTTGAACTGCCCTATAAAGCTAGTAAACTAAAATGTCTATTGGACCTCCACCCGAAAAGGAAGAGAAACCCCGGCTAAGCAATCCAAAAAAATCTCTCTCATTAAAAAAACCAAAAAAAAACCTAGCACAATTGTCCAAAAAACTAAACAAAAACGACTTTCTTTTTCCAGTTTTCTGCTGTATTTTGTAGCTGTTGTCATGTGTTTAAACGAAATAGACACATTTTTCACTTTCTAAAGCTGTACATGGTTTGCCAGAGGGTTTATCTTCCTTGTTGGTGAAAGTTTGATTGACATATATATTTACGGTACTTGGAATAGTAGAGAATCCACAGGTTCAATGATGTGCATAAATGCAGATTTAATGAAAACAGGCCAAAACATTTATATTTTGTGTTCCTGTCTCCAATAAATATACATTTATGCATCTACCCTTTTTAACCTGTGAATCCTCTACTATTGTAACAATTTCGTGGTTGTGGTCCTCAACCAATGTGTATATTTGTGTCTTGGTCTGCTGCAATTTTTAAGTATTTGTAGACATTCCATAAAATTTATGTTTTCTAACATAGCACACAACATAATAAATCCACTTCACAAGTTTAAATGGACATAAAAACATAGAATGTGATGGCAGATTAGAACCATTTGGCCAATCTATTCTAAATACTTTCATTAGTCCCTGGCTTTATCTTATAGTTAGGACAGCCTTATGCCTATCCCACACATGCTTAAACTCCTTTACTGTGTTAACCTCTACCACTTCAGCTGGAAGGCTATTCCATGCATCCACTACCCTCTCCTAATATTTTTAAACCTTTGCTCCTCTGATTTAAGAATATGTCTCTTGTTGTGGACACCCCAACTACAAAATTTATTGTAAAGGTTGTAGAGCAAAAAGGTTATAGGTGCCGTCCCTGTATATTTTGTCAAACTGTTTTCAAATGGTTTGACTAAAACTGAAGGCCTGTCCAACACCTAAAGCCCATTGCTTTGCCCTAAAAGTGATAACTTTCCAGCTAAAATTATTTGTATGGGTAAGCAGGATTCAGTCAAGCTGAATCTCTGTTAATCCTATGAGCGATATTTTAGTGACCCAGGCTTCCTATGCCACGTGTCAAATCAGCTCTGTTGAAATGGAGCAGAAATTTCTACTAACCAACGCATATAAAGATTTTGACTGGTTAATTAGGAATTTAAACATCCCCATTATCACACTGCAGCAGAGAAGGTGGGCTTCTGTCCAGGGGAGACAAAGAAGGACTGTGCCCAAAGTCTACTGAGATGAGAGTATATACAATAAGCCTTTTAAAATGAACTTTTGAAACACAAGTGATTGCAATACAACAAACAGTACCCCAAGGTACAAAATTAGCGAATACAGATCCTACAATTATTTTGCAAAGGCACAATACCAGGCAATATGTGTCTGAAGTAGCTGCTCTCAAGGTGAGGGTAAGGTGGAGGTGGGAGAGAGTAGTTCCTCTCTGGTATTCCACACATTACACCCCGGTCTCCTAAGCCCATTGGAAGCATGACTGAAAGGGCAGAAGGGAGTGAACTCAACGAAGGGCCCAGATTGGGAATAGCCACAGGTAAACCTGAAGAGAAAAAAAAAAAAAAAAAAGCAGTTAATAGCATTGAATGAATAGAACAAGAATATCATTATGTAATGGTTTGCTTGAAAAAAAGCAGTGGTAAAAATTCCAAGAAAAGCAACATCACAAAATAGTATTGACTGTTTGAAATACTATCCTTTAAATTGCCCCAGACATCATAATTTACTACAGATATATCCAACAAGAAAACAGATCCTGCTTCTGCAAGTTAAAGGAATAACATATTATAGAGGTGTCAGCACTCAGTCTCTCAGATTGTGTTGTACTCTTGTTCCTATAACACACTAATTCTACTAGAGCATTATGGATACTACACAACAACAACTGAATACAGAATACACTCAATACAACTATTTCATTTTCTCCATTTTGTAAAGGGGAAATCACACTTGTTTTTAGATTCATGAGCCACTAACCTGTAGCTGATATTGTGTTGTGGGGAGGAGAGCCAGCTAGTCCAAGATGACTCCCAGAAGCAGGCATTGCATTGGCAACCGAGGAAGCACTAAGCTGGTCCATTCCCACAGCGCTGAGGTTCAGCTCATTCATTCTTAAAGAGAAATACAAACAAAAGGTGAGGTGCCTATTATATCTTTACTTACAGAAAAAATAATATATACTAGTGCAGAGAAGTCAAAGGAACAATCTGAGCCCCAAAACTACTTGCACTTAATAAAATGGTTTTGGTGTATTGACCTACAGTCTCACTGTTCAATTACTTGACATTTTGGAGTTAAATTACTTTGTTTATGCAGCCCCATCCACAACTCACCTGTTAGTGACACAAAAAGCCTCCTAACACACTTTCTGAAAGAGATCTTATTTATTTAGCTCCCATTACTGCACAGTGTGCTAATAGCTTGCTAAGGCCCATGGGAGCTTTGTGTGTGTAATTAAAGTTCAATTAACAGTGCAGAAGATAAGAACTTCCAAAAGCATTAAGCATTGCTGTATGATCTGATTAAAAATGAAGCCACATTTTCCATGGAGGTTGTGAATGTTGCAAGCAGGGGAGGTGTGGCTAGGGCTGCATAAACAAAGTAATTTAACCCCTAAATGACAATCGAGCAATGAGACTGCAGGAGCATGGTCTATACATCACAATCACTTCATTAAGTTAGAGTTGTTTTGGTGCTTAAGAGTGTCCCTTTAAATCCACACATGTGGTAATAAAACAAAGCAACACAGCATTTAGTAAACGCACAATATCATGCATAATACTAAAATAATTATTAAATGTAAGCGTCATGTTTTTACATTTTAGGAGCCAGTGTTTAGCAAGTCTTATGTTAGTTTGACATGTTATGCAGTCAAATTACCTGTAATGCATTGGATACCTTCACTGCAGTGTTTGTCAGAAGAAGTCTGGAAAAAAAATATTTTAGTTAATAAATGTACCTGTCAGGTCAGAGTCACCTCAAGACTGCTCCTTGTTACATACTTTAAAAATAAGTAAATTTAAGCATGCCATCATCTCTCTACATTCACTGTGGCATGAAGTGTACATATAGGTTCTGCAAAATTACCCTGCAATCGACAGTGATGGCATAAGATAAGATAAATGTTTATTAAATAGGTCATCAGGAGATAAATGTTATAAAACACCATTTAAAACATAAAATATATGTTCCATGCAGCAATATATATATGGCATACAGTATTCAAATTACAATTCTATAAAGGAGTTAACTTTACTAAACACTCAAAAATGTAATGAATAGGAAGACAAATTGCAACACAGACTAAGATAGTCCAGTTGAAACTTCTAGCAGAATTAAACCCAGAGCGGTCTAGTGACTTGAGATTTACAGTTTTTGGTTTTAATTAGGAAAATTATATTCACAAAAATAGAGTTTTAATGACTTGGGGGGGGGGGAACTAAAATAAATTATCACTTTATGTATGGGAGCATCAGTCACATGGTGAGTTATATTATCATGTGGCTATTCTTTATAATATCCAAACTCTTATTTCAGCAAGAAATCTGCTAAAACATAAAATGACTTCGGAAGAGGGGATAGGTAAAATCTGTCATTAATGAGAGTAGTAGTTCACACCAAGCAGTGTAAGAAAAGGAAGGTGCAGTATCTTTTGCACAACATGAGATGGGGTTAGCAGGGGCAGGCGTCACTATATTTTAGGGTCACTATATCTGACTGTACATTATGGGAGTAAGGCACATCTGGCTGAGCGTAGTGAGAGTTGCATTCCTCGGACAGTGGTTACATGTGACCGGGACTGCCTGTGATGAGAGATGTAGACAGCGGTCACTGGCAGGTGGAGTCCACGGCTGGACGTGATAGGAGTTGTAGTCCCCAGCTACTCGAGTGCCATTCATGTCTGTCATCTCTCTTGGCCAAAAATAATCCAGCTACCATCATCACTCACATCCAGCAGCTATGGCTGCCAATGACAGGCAGCCATCACCAGCCACTACAACCGCAGCTGATAACAGCATGCAGGTGGAATCACTGCCTGCCTACACACACTGATATACCGCCCCTCATCACACACTCACAGCGCTCTGTCCCCAAATCCTGCTAAATCCCCATCCTCTCTCCGTGCACAATGGCTTCACAGCCACAGTTTCTACCCACTCCCAAGATGGCCGCAGGCGGACATGACGTCACGAACAACGTGATGACCAATCGCGCAGTGCTAAGAGGTCAGGCTCGTCCCAGAGCTGGCCGAGCTGCAGAACTCGATCGCGCGACGGGTTTCCTGCCGCGCACCGGAAGCAGTTGCCATGGCTACCGAGATGCCGAGTTCTTCCAAGCATAGACATAGAATTCTATGTCTATGTTTCCAAGAGTCTTCACTGGCAATTAGCAACTGGTTCTTCCTACGCTGGGTTACACAGCCAGAGCATCACGTGAGCAGCTGGAGCAGCTTGGCACAGTGCATAAACTTGTTCAGGATCATTCATCATTTCATTATTTTAGACACCCTGTTATTTTTTTGTGTGTTCCATATAGTTTATTTGTTTAATTGTTTTATTCTCTCTGTGATTTCTGCCCTCTCTCTTCTTTTAGTGATACCTACCAAAATGTTTGTTTTGCTTTATTAACCCTCACCTCATATGTGCATAGCTGTATCTCCCCCATTCCTTAGCTTTATTGCAAGCCTATCTGATCCTAATATATCTTTCTCCCTGAGCCTAAGATAAATTAAAAGACACCCAGCCCCAGACTTGCAAGCAACACAGTGGAGGATGCAGTGTTATTTACGTTAACAGGTCCGTAAAGTTCACACTTATACAAAGCTATAGCTCTCCTGCCACCTTTGAGTTCCTTCCTAGTACAATTGAGATCCCGTTCAGTAAACCATTCATTGTCCCACCTGCTCTCCAGTGCATTCCTTTTCCGGCATAACCCAACTCCTTAGCAAAATCATAGCTTAAAAGCAAAAAAGTTAACTGCTGGTTTTTGGAGATTTTAATGCCGATTTGAAAAATAAATCACGTTTGCTGTTAAGACTTTGCAGCTAATGCAATTAATTTCCTCCCTGACTCACATTAATATGAAAAGCCCTAACCAACCATACTTTGCTAGATTAGATTCTCACCACTTGTCTTGATAGAATCCAGGAGGCGGTGTTCTCCCTAACAGTTAATGACCACTGCCTAGTATATTGTATACACTATACAATACAATATTGTATACGCAAAATAAAGGCCACTAAATCCAATCCCAAGGTTATAATCACCAGATCTTTCAATAATTTATTCTTGAAGCCTTTCTAAACAATTTCAAGAACCTCACATGGCACAGATTGTCTAATCCCAGATCTAGACTCTGCAATTGAATATTTTCAATACAAGCTCTTGCAATTTTGGAATTTGCATACCCCGCTGCGTAAATTGTGAGTAAAATTGACATACTTGCCTTGGGTTACAGCTGACCCCATTCAAATGTACCAGTTTAGAGATTCATTGTGGTCAAAGTTCAAGCGTACTGGCTCCATCAACGATCACTGTGCCTACAGACAATGGTGAAATACATGCACAAAACAAGCAAAAATGGCGGACACAATATTTCATTAAAATTTGGACAATAGCAAATCTGTCAAGAACGACACATGGATCCAATACTCAGAATGCAAAATAGGAGAACGTATACCGGGCCTTAGAATGGCCAGACTAACGTAGGAAAGGAGAGAGAAAACACAGGGACAAGCCGAGGTCGAGAGAGACAGAAAACAGGTAAGCGAATAAACAAGCCGAGTCAAAGGGAAGGAGAACACAGAATAATCAAAATCAGAGCCAAGTCAAATACCAATAAACCAAACCAAAGTATGCACTATAGGAACAATCAAGCTAGAACCACAACAGGGCAATGATTCATTGCAAATGAGTCCTTTTTATAGTTTACGCTGCATCATAAAACGGGACAGAGCTACGATGGCCGGCGTCTGAATGGCTGAGATGAGAGAACGCAATGTGAGGCATGTTCCCATCATGTGGGAGAAGACCTATAGGCTGGATCCCTGCCTGGGTACTCATCACAGGTACCCTGACAATATCAAACCCAAGAAACGTTTGGAAAATCGTGAGTAACATACACTAGATGTAGCAAATGCCTTTAATAATTATTTTGTTGCATATGCCACCACCCTGATTGCTAAATTAACGAACAACGCGCATTCTAGACTAAAAATGCAGATCAGGCCCTACTAAATTTGCAAAGACCTCACATAGTGAAATTCAGTTTTAGAGCTGTGCCTGTTAGCATCATAAATAAACACCATAATAATCTAAAAGTGTGTACCTGATCAAATCCGAGCAATATTGCTGAAGCTCAGTGTGCCAGCAATTGTCAGACCTGTCGCTACCCTAATCAATGAATCCTTTGTGTCTGGATACACACCCAAACTTTGCAAGATTGCAAGAGTAGTACCTATTTATAAAAGTGGTGACAATACTTTGATATCTATCATCCAATATCATGGCTCCCTGTATTGTCAAAAATCTTGGTAAAATGCATTCACAGTTAACTATGTGAGTATTATCAACAATCAAACTATCCAACCCCTGATAAATCAGGCTTTCATCCAAATCAGATAAAAAGAAACAAGTGTAGGCGCTCTCTAAAATAACTATAGGTACGGCAGCAGTGAACCAGCAGGGCTTCCCAATACCTGCTAATAACCAGAAAGTGCAAAAACAAAGTGGTAGACCGCACCACAGAGAAATATGAAATACTTAATTTAAAAAAAGGGATATATACATACATAAGGAATGTTCCAACAGTATAACAGTAAGTATAAACCTTTAAAAGAGATAAATTGAGACAATAATAGTGCAGTATATCAATGTAAAACAATTTCATATAAAATATACGGGAAACCGGTAGAAGAGCTAACTCACACTTTCCAGAGCTACTAAGAGCTCTACTGTATAGCGCCTGGTTGGTATAATCCCCGTTTTAGGATATAGGAATAATGGTGAGGTGTAGCTTTCAGATCTCCACGATTGTGCATAGAACAGAAAACACAAATAGATTCAATAGTGCAGTATGTCTGATAAATAGTATATGGCAGAGAAGGTAAGTATCTTACTTACAATTTCCAGAGCAGTAAACTTGCAAGAGCAAGAGACTGGATGCTGTATTTATATTTATAGAATTTTTATATTATTATTTATTTTATTTATAAAATTGTAGTTTTATCTCCTACTCTCATCCTTGATACATCTTCTGTTCTTGGTGCACTTTGGATCCTGCCAAATCCTCTGGTGGGGATTATACCACCACAAGTTCTCATCACCAGAGCAAGTTTATTGCTCTGGAAATTGTAAGTAAGATACTTACCTTCTCTGCCATATACTATTTATCAGACATACTGCACTATTGGATTCTATTTGTGTTTTCTGTTCTATGCACAATCGTGGAGATCTGAAAGCTACACCTCACCATTATTCCTATATCCTAAGACGGGGATTATACCGTCCAGGAGCTATAGAGTAGAGCTCTTAGTAGCTCTGGAAAGTGTGAGTTAGCTCTTCTACCAGTTTCCCGTATATTTTATATGAAATTGTTTTAAATTGATATACTGCACTATTATTGTCTCAATTTATCTCTTTTAAAGGTTTATACTTCCTGTTATACTGTTGGAACATTCCGTATGTATGTATATATCCCTTTTTTTTAAAATGATTTCATATTTCTCGGTCTACCACTTTGTTTTTGCACTTTCATTCAAATCATTCAAGTACAACTGCCCTCTTAAAAGTGACATCCAAACTGGCATGGAACAAAAAGACCTAACTGGAGCTATTTTCTTTGATTTTGCCAAGGCCTTTGACGCAGTAGACCATGGCATTCTTTTGCAAAAGAGTAAAAACTCAGGTATTGGTGATCGTCCGCTAACCTGGTTTCGATCATGTGTATCAGATCGATAGCAATATGTGTCTCTTTGTGATTTGTGCCTCCCTTCCTTTCCTGGTCACATGTGGTGTTCCCCAAGGCTCCATACTAGCCCCCCCTACTATTCACATTATTCATAAATGATCTTCCTAATGTCTGCAAAGTCTCAACTGTACACATGTATGCAGACGACACCATAATCTACACTAGCAAACCCAATCTACCTTTCCTAAAATCTGACAAAACTGTCACAATGATCTTTGGAACAGTACCTAATTTACATAAATTCATACATTCCCAACTATGTATCAGAACAAATTCAAATAACACAGTGACAGCAGTTTGTTCTTTCAAATATCTAGGTATGTTGCTAGACCCCAATCTATCCTTTGGCCATCACATTGAAAAACTCTCTTCAAAGCTTTATTCAAAACGAGGTGCCTTTTATAGAAATAAATCCTGTCTAAGCCCCACAGTAAGGAAACAGTGCCTTACTGAGAAGCTACCACCCTAACTGAGCAGATTGCTCTCCCTAACTGTTCCAACCTCCTATAACCCCTGATCCAGTACCAGCACTTTATTTAGCATACTGCAATACAAAAATAAAGTGAATCGATCCTCATATTCTTACATAGCAATGCAATTATGGCATAATCTCACGGACACCAAGTAATTTTCATCCAATCATTTAAGAGATCTATGACACAGTTACAGTCACACACACAGTCACAGGTAGACAGAGTCACACACACACACACTCACTCTCTCTCTACCTGTGATCTCTCTGGAGCTCTTTCCATCCAGGTAGGTATTGTACCCTCTGCCAAAGGCCCAGATTAAGGCCAGTGGGCCTGGTGCTGACAATTATGATGGGTCTAATTACAGAATCTTATCGACCAATAACACTAAAACAATCATACCTCCGTGTCATGTATCTGATGAAGATGGTGTTGGAAGGGAAACTCAAAGGATGCAGCTATACGAAAACACATACTCTATGCTAATCTCTCTCTAATTTATGCTATCATCTTTCAACTAAATCCATACGCCCTAACAGCAGTGTCCAGTGAAGCAGGAAGTCAATGGACAGGGTAAAAGGGCGTGAATCACGTGACCCGACCTGCCAAAAGGGGCAAACATGCCCAAAAAGGGAGCATGTCTGTCCAAAGAATTGGAAGGCCAGCCTGGCATGAATGCATAACCAAAGATAATATATACAGATACACCTATTGGTGGATAAAACACACACTCAGTGGGCAAAAGGTAAAAAATTCACAACAGTTACCCTTTTACTGATGGTACTGTAGATA